AATGACCCGGATAACATGATGGTGTGCTCACTCACTTAGAGCCTGATATCCAGGAGTCAGAAGTCAAGGGGCCCTTAGGTAGCATTACTACAAACAAGGCTAGTGGGAAGTGACAGAATTCCAGCTAAGCTATTTAAAAATCCTAAAAGATGACACTGTTAAAGTGCTGCATTCAATATGCCAGTAAATGTGGAAAATTCAGCAATGGCACAGGACTGGAAAAGGTCAGTTTTCATTCCAATCCCAAAGAAGGGCAGTATCAAATAATGTACAAACTACCAGATAATTGCGCTCATTTCGCATGCTAATAAGGTTATACTCCAAATCGTTCAAGCTAGGCTTCAGCAGTACCTGAACTGAGCACTTCCAGATGTACAAGCTGGATTCAGAAAAGGTAAAGGAACCAGAGATCAAATTGCCAACATCTGCTGGATCATATAAAAAGCAACGGAATTCCAGAAAAACATCTACTTCTGCTTCATTAACTATAATAAAGCCTTTGTGTGGATCACAACAAACTGGAAAATTCTTAGAGATGGGAATACCAGACCACCTTATCTGCCTCCTGAGAAACCTGTATGCAAGTCAAGAATCAACAGAATTGGACATGGAACAACAAACTGGTTCAAAATTGGGAAAGGGGTATGTCAAGACTATATATTGTCACCTTGCTTATTTAACTTATATGTAGAGTGCATCATCTGAAACGCCAGGCTGGATGAATCACAAGCCTGAATCAAGACTGCTGGGAGAAATATCAATAACCTCAGATATGCAGATGACACCATCCTACTCACAGAAAGGGAAGAGGAATTAAAGAGCCTCGATCAAAGTGAAAGAGGAGAGTGAAAAGGCTGGATTAAGATTCAACATTCAAAACACGACGATTATGGCATCTGGTCCCATCACTTCATGGCAAATAGGTGGGGAAAAAATGGAAACCGAGAGAGACTTTATTTTCTTGGGCTCCACAATCACTGCGGATAGTGAATGTAGCCATGAAATTAAAAGACACTTGCTCCATGGAGAAAAGCTATGACAAACTTACATATTAAAAAGCAGAGACATCACTTTGCTGACAAAGGTCTACACAATCCAAGCTATGGTTTTTCCAGAAGTCTTGTACGGACATGAGAGATGGATCATAAAGAAGTCTGAGTGCCAAAGAATTGATGCTTTTGAACTGTGGTGTTGAAAAAGACTCTTGAAAGCCCCTTAGGCAGCAAGGAGATCAAACCAGTCCATCCTAAATGAGATCAGTTCTGGGTATTCATTGGAAGGACTGATGTTGAAGCTGAAACTCCAATACTTCGGCCACCTGATACGAAGAGCCTACTCACTGAAAAAGACCCTGATGCTGGGAAACATTGAGGGCAGGAGAGAAGGGCAACAGAGGATGAGATGGCTGGATGGCATCACCAACTCAATGGACATGAATCTGAGCAAACTCCAAGGGATAGTGAAAGATAGGGACGCCTGGTGCACTGCAGTTAGGTCTGAAAGAGTCGGACATGACTTAGTGACTGAACAACATCATGGTTTTTAAAGAATGTTCTTCCCTCTTTTCCTTTAAACTGTACCTGAAGAACTTTTTCCTGAAGAACTTCTCCTTTAAACTATACCTCATCTTTCTCTAAAGACCTCCTTGATCCCTTCCTGCACTTCTACCTTTCAACCTCCTTTTTATAGTATTTATTACGTATGATGAATTTTTAAAAATCCCTTTCTTATTAAGCCATTTCTCGGTGTTATGGACTTCCTCATATGCAGTCCCTCGCATATGGACATACTCCCTTCATTCTACATTAAAAAAAAAAATCACTTATCTTTAAAAATTTGGCAAAATATTACCTCTATTAAATTGTCCCTGATCTTTCAGCTAAAAAAAATGTCCTCCTCTCCTGACTGATCTTTCATAATATTCTAAATCAGAGCTTCTCAAGCTTTAATGTGCTACATGAATCACTGAAGGATGATCTTGTCAAAATGTATATTACAATTAAGCAGATTATTCTGCATTACTAGTGCCCAGAAATGCCAATGCTGCTGGTCTGTGGAAATGAAACAGGCAAAGAATCATTTATTTGTGTGGTAAAAAATAAAGTCAAAGGGTTGCTTTAAAGACTTCTATATATTTTACATGTGTATAACAGTAAGGTGTATAACACGTGTATATCATTGTTGCTGTTCAGTCGCTAAGTCATTTCTGACTCTTTTGTGACCCCATGGACCCTGCCAGGCTCCTCTACACTCTTGCACTTATACACATGCATTTCCTTACTGCTTTTGGATGTAGGTTTACACCACAGACTTGAATATTCAGTCTGGATTTCATTATTCACTTATTTATTCATTTACTGGCCATACATAGCCTATGTTCTTTTAACTTGTACTTATGGACCCTGCTTTTATACACATTATCTTAAGTAGTTTTCACAATATTCTTATAAGTGTGCTCTTCACTTTACTTCTTTAATGTAAGTTTATAGGAGCTATGTGATTTGGCCAATATCACACAGCTACTGCCAGAGTCAGAACTTTAACTGAAGTCTTCCAGTTCTAAATTCAGTAATTTTTTAGTTATACCATCCAGATGTGCTAAGTTTTGTAGTCAAAAATGTCAATGTCATATGAGACAGAAGAAAGCAGAAATCATTTATTCCTTCAACAAACAATTATGTTGTGATGTTTATATTCTGGGCTCTGTGCTAAGTACCGGATACAGAAAAGATTAGGGAAGTTTCTGAGTAACAGTTAAGCAAAGTTTCAGCAAGGAAGGAGTATTTTATTTCATCCTGGTGTAAGGAAGAGAAACTGCATTCTAAGCATGAGGACCAGGATACACACATATATGGATACAAACACCAAGGCACATTTTAGAACAAAGACCATGTACAATTAGTAATGGTAAGTATTAAGAGACCTGAGCAGAATCTAGGACAGTATACATGAAAATATCTGTAAGCTGAAAACATTCATGTTTAGACAAAAAACATAAAAACAGAAAAGCAAGAATTTACATGGCATGCTTAGGAACCAGAGGAGACCTGGCATCACAGACTGAATATTTATGTTAGAGAACAATAAAAAGTAACTGTGGGGCCAGTTGAAAATGAAACTCAAAGCAGCAGCAACACTGCTAACAAGTACTTAGTATTTAACTCTGCCAGATGTACTAAGTGCTTTGCATCTGCAAAATGTTTGAGCACTTGGATACCATCATTCTCATTTTAAGTATAGGAAAACTGAGGTTAAGAGAGATTGAGTAATTTGCCCAATATCACATAGACAGTAATTGGTAAAGACACAATGGAAATCCAGGATTTTATACTTTATAAACACTATCCAGTTTACAAAAATACATGAAAGCTGCATCATCATTTAGTGTAAAGAAATCTGCATCATCATTTAGTGTAAAGAAATCTGCAGAGACAGAACACTAGATCTTAATTCCAGATCCTTCATGTGGAGGTTATTGAACTTTTTTAAGCCTCGGATTCACTAAGACTCAGGAATAATAAAGCTCAGCAAGATTCTTAAAAAGATCAAACAAGTCAGTTGCTTAAAATAGTCTGCATATTCCAACTGTATAAGGTTATACACATGAGATTATTATACACCTATCTATCTTTGTCTCTATTTCCCTGGATATATATGGAGTCTATACAATTTTGGAAGTTATGTGGACAAGTTTGAATAAAACATGGATTTTACTTATTCCAGGTTTCTTGGTTTTATGTACGGAGTCAATGGATTAGTTTGCTATATTATCAGATTTCTTTAGTGTGTTTAAGAAAGGTAATTCCTGGGGGAAGGGAGGATATGAAAACTATACAGATACATGAGTTTGAACAAACAGGCTGATACTAAATAACATAATTTTTTCTTAAAGACTGAGAAATTAAGGTCACTTATTCCTCCCCAAGCACTAGGCTACCAAATGTAGATTTAACAAATTAAAATATTTTGGGTGGCCATATTTCACCAAATTCCCGAACTACATTTAAATGTATCAGCTATGTTCTCTAAAATTTTTGTTTTACATTTTAAATTATGGCCAAAAGTACAGTATTTTTAAAAACAAAATGTCACTCAAAAAACAAAAACGAGGAAAGCAAACAGAAAAAGGGAAAGCAAGTTGCATTAACCAAATATTACAAAACTAGTCTTCCCGGGAAACACACTATGTCCTTCCCGAGGATGAAATTTCTACAATTAAGAAAAATTTATTTTTTTCATATTGAGCAGGTAAGTCTCGTCACTGGAAAATTACTGGTTAACAAAGTCTAACAAAAGGAGCAGAAAAAGATTTCTGATACAAAGAGTTTGGTAAAGTACACAGAAAAGGAGGAAAACAAAATTCTCGCCTACTGTAGAAAAATCTCTCTAGCTTCCTCAAAACAGTATCTGGGGAAAATCTGGAGAACCTACTGGGAACTCTAGGCTGGATTACAAGAAGTTTCAAACACATCTGGGTTTACTTCTCTGAACACTGTGAAATACCATGAAATTGGAGGAAAACTAGGGACGTAGGCAAAATACCAGATTCCATAAAAACCATGAACTCTTCGAGGGAGGTTAGTATTCGAAGCGCCGAATCTACGCAAAAGCTATGTACTGATAAACAACCTCATTCTCATTCCTTGACACCGATCCCGGCCCATCTAACCATTCGTTTCTGAGTTACAGCAAGTCATTTTAGAAATAAAGTCTTGGGTCCCGTGGGTGCACTCGAGGTAGGTAAGTCCGCCAGATAAACCTGACACCAGATGGTGTGGGGAGGGCCAGAAGCTGACCGAGTCACTTGGAAAGCTCCCCAAGCCCCACCCTCGGCCACCCGGCCCTCTCGGAAGGCCCGGCGAACGCAGAGGCTCCAGTCACCCGTAGGTCAGCTTCCTGTCCGTACCCACCAGGCCACAATCACCTCGGCATCAGAAAGACCCTGCCGTGTTCGCCCGGCGTCCCCCGGGGTGGCGGGCCCTTCGAGGGCCCAGTCTCACCTTCCGCGTCAGCTGAGGAGACAAAGGTGAAGTCCCCGTTAGTGGGGGTATACGCCGGGGGCGGGCCCGGCGGCTGCATCTCGCGGCCCCTCCGAGCCCGCGGCGGAGGAGGAGGATGCGGCTGGGCCCAGGCCCTAAGGCGGCCGCGGCGCCGACCCGCACCCGCGCCCTACGGTGGGACCCGCGAACCGGGAGATGCAGGCTGGGAACAAGGCCCGAGACGAACGCAGCTAGCCACGGAGCTATCCCCAAAGGTCCCCACCGAAGCACCCTCGGTGGCGACCGCCCAGGAAACACGACGCCGGCGCCCTGACAGGACCATAACAGTGACAGCGCCGCTGTGATTGGCTCTTTGTAATCTGCTCTTCCATTGGCTCCCTGAGAAAGGTTCTGATTGGCTCTCCCTCTTGTTGATTGCGGAAGTTTACCCGGGACAGGAAGTTAATTTGTAATTCCGGCGTCTCACTTTTTTCATTTGTTTCCGTCAAGTCTCCTGCCTTCTGGCTTTTCTTTATATTCTCTACTTTTGTTAACTGGGCGGGGTAAAGTTTTTGAGAATTGGTAGTGTTTTTACAGGTCAGCCCTGGAATATCCCTGGATTCCCTTTCTTTTAGTCATTAATTGTATCTCCCTTCCTTCTGTTTTTAACGTTTTAATTTTGTATTGGGGTATAGCCAGTTAACAGTGTTGTGGTAGTTTCAGGCGAACAACAAAGAGATTCAACCATACACATACATGTATCCATTCTCCCCCAATATCTTGACTTAAATTGTATATGGTCCCTAAGAGTGACTTTTCTCATCTGTGAAATGAAGGGCTGGATTGGATACTTTAAAAAAAAAAAAAAAAGCTATAAATTTCCACTCAAACATTAGGGCTCTTGTCTACCACATTCCTCAGTGAGCAAGGCAATTTCAGGCAATTAAGCCTGAAAAGGTAAGGAAGGAGCACAGTTAGAAGAGCACCTAAATCTTCTGAATTCTAGCCCAGTTCTGTTTTCACAAGGTTCTGTCTGCTGATAAACTTGTTCAGTGGCTAAGTCATACCCAACTCTTTAAAACCCCATGAATTGCAGCATGGCCAGGCTCCCCTGTTCTTCACAATCTCCCAGAGTTTGCTCACATTCATGTCCATTCAGTCTATGATGCTGTCTAACCAGCTTATTCTCTGCCACCCCTTTTACTTTTTGCCTTCAATCTTTTCCCAGCATCAGGGGCTTTTCCAATGAGTCTGCTCTTCCCTTCAGGTGGCTAGGTATTGGAGCTTCAGCATCAGTCCTTCCAATGAATATTGAGGATTGACTTCTTTTAGGCGTGACTGGTTTGATCTTGCTGTCCAAGGGACACTCAGGAGTTCTGCAGCACCACAGTTCAAAAGCATCAATTATTTGGCTCTCAGCCTTCTTTTATGATCCAATTCTCACATCTGTACATGACTTCTGGAAAAACCGTATCTTTGACTGTATAGACCTTTGTCAGCAAAGTGATGTCTCTGCTTTTTAATATATTGTCTAGGCTTGTCAGAGCTTTTCTTCCTCAGAGCAAGTGTCTTTTAATTTTGTGGCTGCAGTCACTTAATTTTGGGCTACAGTAATTTTGGAGCCCAAGAAAACTCCAATACTTTGGCTGCTTGATGTGAAGAACTGACTCATTAGAAAAGACCCTGATGGAAAGATTGAAGGCAGCAGGAAAAGGGGACGACAGAGGATGAGATGATTGAATGGCATCACCGACTCGATGGACATGAGTTTGAGCAAGCTCTGAGAGTTGGTGATGGACAGGGAAGCCTGGCGTGCTGTAGTTCATGGGGTCACAAAGAGTCGGACATGACTGAGCAACTGAACTGAACTGAAGAAAATAAAATCTGCTTCCAGTTTTTCCTCATCTATTTGCCATGAGGTGATGGAACCAGATGCCATGATCTTTGTTTTCTGAATGTTGAATTTTAATCCAGCTTTTCCAGTTTCCTTTTTCACCTTCGTCAAGAGGATCTTTAGTTCCTCTTCACTTTCTGCCATAAGGGCGGTGTCATCTGCATATCCAAGGTTGTTGATATTTCTCCAGGCAATCTTGATTCCAGCTTGTGAGTCATCCAGAGTGGTGTTTTGCATGATGTACCCTACATATAAGTTAAATAAGCAGGGTAATAATATACAGCTGTGATGTACTCCATTCCCAATTTTGAACCAGTTCATTGTTCCATGTCTGTTATTAACTGTTGCTTCTTGACCTGCATACAGGTTTCTCAGGAGGCAGGTCAGGTGGTCTGGTATTCCCATCTCTTAAGAATTTTCCACAGTTTGTTGTGATCCACACAGTCAAAGACTTTAGCATAGCCAATGAAGCAGTAGTAGATGTTTTTCTGGAATTCTCTTGCTTTTTGTATGACCCAACGGATGTTGGCAATTTGATCTCTGGTTCTTCTGCCTTTTCTAAATGCAGCTTGTACATCTGGAAGTTCTTGGTTCACGTACTGATGAAGCCAAGCTTGAAGGATTTTGAACGTTACCTGTTAGCATGTGAAATGAGTGCAATTGTAGCTTGCACATTCTTTGGCATTGCCTTTCTTTGTGATTGGAATGAAAACTGACCTTTTCCAGCCCTGTGCCATTGGTGAATTTTCCAAATTTGGTGGCATTTTGAGTCCAGCATTTTAACAGCATCTTTTAGGATTTGAAATAGCTCAGCTGGAATTGCATCACCTCCACTAGTCTTGTTGGTAGTAATGCTTCCTAAGGCCCACTTGACTTCACACTCCAGGATGTTTGGCTCTAGCTGAGTGATCACACCATCGTGATTATCTGGGTCATGAAGATCTTTTTTGTACAGCTCTTCTGTGTATTCTTGTCAGCTCTTCTTAATCTCTTCTGCTTCTGTTAGATCCTTGCTGTTTCTGTCCTTTATTGTCCTCATCTTTGTAAGAAATGTTTCCTTGGTATCTCAATTTTCTTGAAGGGATCTGTAGTCTTTCCCATTCTGTTGTTTCCCCCAATTTCTTTGCACTGTTTTTTAAAGAAGGGCTTCTTATCTCTCCTTTCCAATCTCTGGAAGTCTGCATTCAGTTGGGTATCTTTCTCTCTCTCCTTTGCTTTTCACTTCTCTTCTTTTCTCAGCTATTGGTAAGACCTCCTCTGATAACCATTTTGCCTTTCTGCCTTTGTTTTTCTTTGGAGTGGTTTTGGCCACTACCTCCTATACAATGTTACAAATCTCTCTCCATTGTTCTTCAGGCACTCTGTACAAGCCACATTAATGTGATGTCCAGTTTTTGAGAGAAGTTTTGAGGGTATAATGAGGACAGAGTTTGAGAGAGATAAATGATAGATTAGCAGTAGAGCAATGGGAAGTCATGGCCATTAATGTGTAAAAGGAAATACTGAAAAATTTCTCACAGGAGGTAACAATTAACTTGGTACTTAAAGGGTGTATAAAAATTTTTGACCAAAGAGATATGTCAGGCTTGCAGCCTAGGTCATCACATTTCAAAGCTGGAAACTAGAAGTCATTTACTTTACTTGGAGATTAGGTTACAGGAGAGAAGATGGCTACAGATGTGATTGCATGAATACATAAAGAAATAATGAACAATATTTAATGCTAAAAAGTGTTTTATGAAAGTGTCGGGGGAGCCCTTAAAGGAATTAGAGCAAAGGAGTGACATATTAGATATTCTTGTTAGAATAATTACTTAAGATTTCCACAGTAGTGGATGCTTTGATTTGGGGAGCAGAGACTTGTATTAGACTTTAGCAGAAATATAATGCCTTGGACTAAGGTTGCAGATTGGGAATGGGGAAGAAGAAACACTGAGACATATGAAGGATTAAGAATCCACAAGGGATTCCTGGTGGTCCAGTGGATAGGAATCCACCTGCTGGTGTGGGGGACACAGGTTCAATACCTGGCCTGGGAAGATTCCACATGCCTCAGGACAGCTAAGCCCGTGCACCACAACTACTGAACCTGTATGCCATAATTTCTGAAACCCAAGTATCCTAGAGCCCATGCTCTGCAATGAGAGAGGCCACTGCAGTGAGACACCAGTGCATCACAACTAGAGAATAGCCCCTGCTCTCTGTAACTTGAGAAAGCCTGTGCACAGCAACGAAAACTCAGAGCCGCGATGAATAAATAAATACTTTGAAAAGTAGGTATTTGAAAAAATAGCCACCTTTCTCAGTCTGTGAAGATTGGCTCTGTGTCATGGCGGTCCTTCACTGATTCGCTGGTTGTGCTCAAAGCCTAGGGTCTTCAGAGCTTGCTCCTCTCAGCATGGAGTCCCCACTGTCATTCTTACCAAGATTAAATAGATTTTTCTTAAATGAATGCTTCTCCATTTGTTGTGTATCCTGAGAACAATTTCTAGAGACTTTAAATAATTGGTTTTTCAAATAATTTTCTCCAATTAAACTGTGTTGTTTTTGGGGTGAGTGTCCTGAACTCCTGAGTCCACTTTGCCATAATTTTGTGCCCATCCTTTTAACTTTTCTGTATCTTCAAAGTCTAGATATGTCTTTTTGTAAATAGCATTTTTTTCCCTAGAGTAACAACCTTAGCTTTTAAACTTGAGCATTGAGTCCAACTACATTCATTGTAGTTACTGGTGCCTTGCTTTTATTATTTTTTCCATCTTGTTTTGTGCTTTCTACTTGTCTGCCTTTTATATTTAACTGTGTTTGGCTTCTCTTCTTTATTTTGATTATTTTATCTCATTGTATTTTTTAATTTTACTAGTTTAGAGGTTATACTTTCTATTTCTATTTCCTTATCAGTTGTAATGCACTTCTTTAAATCTTTTTTAAAAATTTATTCTTTTTCAAAATTTTATTATTTTTTAATTGAAGGATAATGGCTTTACAGAATTTTGTTGTTTTATGTCAAACCTCAACATGAATCAACCATCAGTTCAGTTCAGTTCAGTCACTCAGTCATGTCCAACTCTTTGCGACCCCATGAATCGCAGCACGCCAGGCCTCCCTGTCCATCACCAACTCCCGGAGTTTACTCAAACTCATGTCCATCGAGTCGGTGATGCCATCCAGCCATCTCATCCTCTGTTGTCCCCTTCTCCTCCTGCCCC